TTGCTAGAGCAATAAGACAAAAGATGTCAGCCTAAGTTTTACTTGATGTTTTCTTTCTGTTTGTTGAAAAATTATACTAAATTCATTAACGTTTTATAATAAAGAAAAATAAAAGACAGAATTGAAAAATTCCACACCAAAAAAGTTTTAAAACTTTGTTTCTCAATGATTTACTTTATACCTGAATAGAATAGTTCAAATTGATAACTGTCGAGAGCATCCTTGGCATCAAATAAACACTTTTAGTGCCAAATCTGTGATCATTTAGTATCTTCTTCCAGCAGTCAATGTTTCATGGAGAAATGGCTGATTTCAAGAGTGGAACAGTTAACATAGTATTAATAAGGACCTCATTGTGGTTCTTATCTTTCCTAATGCTACAACCCTTTAATACAATTCCTCATGTTGTGATGATCCACATCCACAAAATTATTTTTGTTGCTACTTCATAATTTTGCTACTGTTATGAACATTAATGTAAATATTTTTGGAGACAGAGGTTTGTTAAAGGGGTTATGACCCACGGGTTGAGAAGCACTGAATAAGGCTGACAAATATTTCTCAAGTTGCACAAAAAGCAGTTGAGAGATTTGTTTTGTCTAATTAGAGAACTTCAACACCTAATTCTGATGGAACAATTCTCATATCAACAACAATAACTTCTGTGGGTCTAAGCCCACTAACTTTAAATCTGTTCATTCATGATGACACAAAAATGCAAAAGTGGACACATTAGGAAAATGCTAAAAGGCCACTTAATTCCACCTCTTTAATTAAAAACTTGAAGTAAACAAGGAGGTAAAACATGTTCTGCCTTTCCTATAAAAGGAATATGACTGAAAAAAATGCTAGCTAACTTCCTCTAACACAGTATTATAGTAAATGCATGATGTATTAGCGCTGGCATATTACCACTCTGAAAGTGCTAATGAATGAGGGACTGAGATTATAGTAACTCAGCACCACACACATATCCCAGTAGACCAACTCCTTGCAGATTCAGGACGCTCACCTGCTTTTCCATTACTGAATATCCAGCTCCTCCTGTGCAGTAGTTTTTCACTAAGTGTTAAATGGATGAATATTGAATGTACTCCTTGGTATTTTGTATTGCTTTATTAGAATACCAAGAGTGTCATTTTGGATGGATGGGTCTCTCCTAAGAGTCACAGATTTCTCAGGAAAGTTGGTGCTAGGCTGGATGAAGAGCAGGTAGGCTGGATGAAGAGCAGGTAGGCTGGATGAAGAGCAGGTAGGCTGGATGAAGAGCAGGTAGGCTGGATGAAGAGCAGGCAGGCTGGATGAAGAGCAGGTAGGCTGGATGAAGAGCAGGCAGGCTGGATGAAGAGCAGGTAGGCTGGATGAAGAACAAGTAGGCTGGATGAAGAGCAGGTAGGCTGGATGAAGAGCAGGCAGGCTGGATGAAGAGCAGGTAGGCTGGATGAAGAGCAGGTAGGCTGGATGAAGAGCAGGCAGGCTGGATGAAGAGCAGGTAGGCTGGGTGAAGAGCAGGTAGGTTGGATGAAGAGCAGGTAGGCTGGATGAAGAGCAGGTAGGCTGGATGAAGAGCAGGTAGGCTGGATGAAGAGCAGGCAGGCTGGATGAAGAGCAGGTAGGCTGGATGAAGAACAAGTAGGCTGGATGAAGAGCAGGTAGGCTGGATGAAGAGCAGGTAGGCTGGATGAAGAACAAGTAGGCTGGATGAAGAGCAGGTAGGCTGGATGAAGAGCAGGTAGGCTGGATGAAGAGCAGGTAGGCTGGATGAAGAGCAGGTAAGGGGATGGCAGAGGAAGCATATCTGGGATTGAAATCAATAAGAGCAGAGTCACAGAGGCAGCGTCCCACCAGGAGCCCCTGCCATGGGTTCAACAGTGTTTGTGGGGTCCTCTCTATGAGCACACATTTTCAGCATCCATGAAACTTCATGACAATTGTGTAAACATTGTCATTCCCACCTGGCAGCTGAGGAAACAGGCCCAGAGAAGTAAATGGGAGTGTCTAACATCGTGCATCTGGTGAGGTCAGCGCCATGATGAGACTTTCACCTTTGCATATCTGACTCAGATCTTTCGAATATTATGTCATGGCAAGCTTTCTTTAGATTTTGGGTTCCTTAAGTGTGACCAGAAGTGAACATAATTATTCTAGGTTCCCCTTATGCGGGTAGAACTCAGAGCCATTATGCTACAGGTAACAGTATACCCTAATGACACCCAGTGATGCTTGTGGAAATGCTTTGCAGATCGATACAGTTCTTAATAAATGGTGTAGTTACAAGGTTGAAGGGTATATGTTTCCTTTTAGTGGACGTACTCTCCTAATCAGATCCAAAATTGAGGAGAACTATTGTCTTCCAACATAAGGTTTATAAATTCAGGCCACCCAAAGGGAGGGCTTCTTTTAAAAGGGCCCTTTTTTTTGTTAAAGGGTTATCTCTGCTGGTGCATAAATTGAAGCAACTGTCTTGATGTGTTTGTGGTGCTATGCTGTGGTCATAGGAGAGGAGCCATTTAAGCATAAAAGAAGGCAAAGCAAAAGCAGAACATGCAAACAATCAAACTGGGACCAGGTCCTAGATCCTAGTCCCAGCATGGTAAGTAAACCTGTCTCTTTCCATCTGTACATCTAGAAGATGTCACTGAGAACTATTCTCTGTCTAGATAGCAATCAATGGTCTTTGAAACCTCATTTCCCCAGTGTGTGGTAGGCCCTGGTTGGCTGGTTGGCAGGGCTCATTGAGGGGTGCTTTTAGGAAGTCACTCTAAAGGATGTGGCAATCCAGGTCTTGCCCAGGGAGGAGGAACCTGAGTTTATTCATGGGGTTTTCCCCATGCGCTGTCAGTGCCAGCCTTATTTCATTTGATTTTCTCTCAGTGCAGCTAGGCAGCAATGAGCCTCAGACTTCTGTCTATCTTTTGCTAGGGGGACTTCTCACTGTCAGCTTTTCTTTGGAAGTCAGAGCCTGGGTGCTGTATTCCCAAGGAGAGAGTGCTTTTCTAGAGCTACAGAAAGCAAAGGCTGGAGGAGGAGACACCTGCTGGAGAAGGGGCAGGGACTGGAGGCTAAAGAAGGAAACAAGCAGCTAATAAGGCGAGACTACACTCTGCCTCATTGGGCTGGGACAGCAGGAGGTCAGGTATTTCTGAATGTGAGTGTTCTTCAGATGCCCTTTTTTTCTTAAGAGGCTCTACTCCATCAGTGGACATCTAAACATGGTGAAGGAAACTCTTATCTCTCCTGTTTAAGCTGTCCTCCACACAGGAAAGCTGCCTCTGTTTTTCCAGATGAATCATGTACTAGCAATCTATTATCTTCTTGCATAGGCAGTTGGTTTTGGATTTACCTCTACACCATTTCTTCATGGTCTCTCAAGCCTTGAAATTTTGCCTACTGTTTCTTTTATGTATAGAGGAAGCATAGCAATGTGAGCCAGTCAGGGAGTTGGGAGAGGCCATCAGTTCAGTGACCTTCAAGACCAGGCCTGTTGTCATCCTTAAGAGTTCAGGTGTATGGTCCAACAAGGTTGAGGTACAGTTCGTGACATTAATACTCATGGTTAGGAAAGCAGAAAAGTTACAAGTTACATAACTAGGATCCAAGCTTTCTGTTGGCCAGGACTGACAATGTTTTCTAGCAGTGTTCAGGAGGCAGGTCCTTTTCTGGGAGGCCAGCTGGCATGGTTCTGTCATGAGCAAGTTGGTTCTTGCCTCTTATTTGGCTAATGAAGACATTGGATTTCTCTCATGTATTTATGAAGTGCCTGCCCTGTTGTGATGAGCTCATTTAGGGAGAGTGGCTGGAGGAAAGTTTCTGAATTAATGGGATCTTGTGTGTTATTTAATGATTTTTGTGTTGCTCTAAAATCCTTCATATGCTCAATTCTTGAGCTGTAATGTTAAACACTTCCTTCTGTAGATATCAATTGTAGTGTCAAAACAGTGCAGGGTGATGTCTATGACATCTTACCTCAACATCTCCTGCATTGTTTCTCAACTGGGGAAAGTTGATGACTTGGTTAGCAACAGAAGCAGTGGACATTTCCCACTGAGCATGAGTAAGAAGTTCATTTCTGCCTACAAAGGCAAACATGATTCTTGGATCTGGGGAACACCGAAGTAATTCTGCACTTTATCCCTTAGTCCCATGCTAAGAATCTCCACCAACAGAAACAAAGGCAGAATTGAGGTTACTAGTAGAGGCCCTGGAAGCTGACAGGTCTGGCTAGGAGGCGTAGCCTCTCCTACTCACTTGGGAATTTTGGGGATGTGACTTAAGTTCTTGGACATATGCTCTCATAGGTCACTGTGAGGCTCAGCGAAGAGTCTAAAGAGTCCTCACACAGTATTTGAATCACAGAATGTGATCAGTGAGTGGAAACAGTTGGTTATTATCTTCCCATTAGAATAGAGATTGACTACTCATTCCTCTGAGATCTTAGAATAGGGAACTTAAACGCTATGGCTTTCCATACTTCTGATTGTCCAATGGTTCCAGATGGAGCCCATACCTGCCTCTACTTGTCATTCAAGATTGAGTATTCTTCTCTGTAAAAAAAATGGCCTTCAGGATAATTGTCTTACAGGGATTTTGTAAGGGCCAAATATAAAATTGCAGCACTAGAAATGAAATCATCTATACAGGGTCATTATTATTGCTACTGAGGGACTTTAGAAATTGTACTTGTCTGCCGTGGAAGGCTTAGAATTAACCACATCCACTACAAGGAACAGGTGTCTCCTGGGCTGTAGAAAGTGGCTGTGGAGAGGCTTGCTAGATACAGACATTAGTCTCTTTATATCTATGAAACAACTGAGGTGTGCAGGTGACCCTGAGGAGCTGAGCCAGGTGCTAGCTCTCTGGAGGCACACAGAGAGTAAGGAAACAGACAGGGAGCCCAGCAGTTAGCACAGTCATGTTAACTGTCAGTGTTCTGTAGGGCCAGGGTCTTCAGGACTGCTGATATATAAGACTCCTTGTTGGTATCCTGGGACCATTTGAAGATGCTGCCCTGGCTTCTTATTTTCTCTGCTCTGGATCTCCTGGTGTATGGTAAGTTTTTTTTTTCCTTCTTATCGGAAGTGCCTTTGCTGAGTGGCACACAACTGTCCTTGTGTGGAATGACAGAAATGCTCCAGGTGTTGTCTTTACGAGAGCATGTGTAGCTTTGCCACTTGTGGCACTGCCCAGGAATTGACAGATTGCCATTAGTGTCCTGACAGCTTTTGTGATCCTCTACAAGTTAGTATATGACTCTTAACCGCATTCATGAATTAGAGTTGTTACTGAGGATTCAATTAGATACTATATTGATTACTTTTCTGTGACAAAATATTTGAGAAAAGGGTTTATTTGGGTTTGCAGTTAGACACACACACACACACACACACACACACACACACACGCGCGCGCGCGCGCGTGTGTGTGTGTGTGTGTGTGTGTGTGTGTGTGTGTGTGTGTATATATGTATATATATAATGGTTGGAAGACACAGTCAGTGGCAGGAGCTTAAGGCCTTTGGTCACCTTGTTTCCACAGCTGTGATGCAGAGAGCAGTGAATGCTGGTGTTCAGCTTCCTCTTACTCAGTCTGGTACCCTAGCTCATGGAATGTGCTGTTTAAAATAAGAGCAGAGCTTCCCAGTTTAACTAACCTGCTCTAGATAATCCCTTCAGGACATGCATAGAGATGTGCCAGGCTTTTTCTTTTGGGTCACCAACCAGCTCCCAAATCATGACATGGAAACTTTTTAATTTTGAATGCCCAGCCTAGCTTAGGCTCATTTCTGGTTATCTCTTTTAACTTAAATTAACCTATTTTTCTTTAACTATCTTTTGACTCAGGGCTTTTTACTTTTCTTTCGTTCTGTATATCTTACTTTCACTGCTTCCTCCAGTGTCTGTCTGTCTAGCAGCTGCCTGGTTTCTGGCCCTGGGTGTGTCCCTCTCTCTCCTCCTCCTTCTCTTATTTATCCCAAGCCTAGATTTCTCGTCCTATTTACTCTCTGCCTGCTAGCCCAGCCTATCCTTTCTCCTGCCTAGTTATTGGCCATTCAGCTTTTTATTAGACCAATCAGGTGTCTTAGGTAGGCAAGGTGAAACAAATACAACACATTTTTACATAATTAAACACACATCCTTACATCATTAAACAAATGCAGTATACACAAATGTAACACACCTTTACACCGTTAAGGTAATGTTCTTCAGCATAAACAAATGTAACACATCTTTGCCCAGTTAAAATAATATTCCACAACACAGAGTCTTGTCTCTTCAATAATTCTAAGTCTAGTCAAGTTGACTATAAAGGTTCAGCACAGTCTTCAAATCATGAATTTGAGGTAATTTACAGCTCTAACTCCCTCACCGTCTCACCACCAACCACCACCACCACCACCACCACCACCATCATTATCATCATCATCATCATCATTATCCTCCTCCTCCTCATCACCATCAAGTTAAACCCAGCTCAGAGTTTACATTTGTAAATAAATACCAATTTTGTGGGTGCAGGGCTGCCTTTACAACACCTAAATATGTTTCATCATTTTATAAAGTGATTAGACATGGAGTAAATATATGTGAATTCTTTTGAATTAAATGGACCTGAGCTTGGTAATTCTTAAATACTGGTTATATTTCTATGTTTTATGACACAATTTAGCTAGCTCTCTGCCTTCTACCCTTAGGTAGATATGTTACTGGGTTACATGGAATTAGTGTTGGAGAAACTCACAGAACAAAGAGAGCATAGTTGATCTTTTCACATTGTACATGAGGACACTAAGGCCTGATGGGGAAGTGACTTGCCCAAGTGTGACAGTGAGTTGGAATTAGCCCTCAGCCAGTTGCCTGGTTCTGCTCTGTATTTGTCATACTCACTGGCTGATGGCTAGTCTTGACCTCTGAGGTTCCTGTGGGTTTTATGGTCCCAATCTCCTGCCCTAGTGAGGCTTTTATTATATTTACCTTCACTCAACACCCCACTCTCACCCTAAGGGTCACAGAAGCCTTTCCTGGTCCCTAATCAGAGCCATGTTGCTTTCCCTGGGTCACCTGCATACCTACATCATAGTGCCACATACTAAGATGGTTGTCATTATCTTGAGCAAACCTTAATAGATTTATGAAGCATATACCAGTTCTTGAGACAGAATTATATGGATCACTGTGACTGTCCTCAGAGACAGAATTTAATAAAGATTATGTTCTCTTGGCTCACTCCTGGGTCCTTGTACCCCTTATTGCTTGTGTCCATCCTTGAAGATATAAACAGGGTCCCAGCTTCAGCAGTTGCTCCTACTAACCAGGCAACTTGACAAGGTTGAGTACAGATCCAGGTGAGTACTGAGCCCAAACTGGTCTACAGAGATGAGAATGGGTAGTTGTGGGTGATGAAGCTCCCTCCAAGGCTTCCAGATGCCACAGTGGGGGAGCTAGTGTCTTGGGTATGGTCTGTTACATGCTGATCTGTGGTCTCTCTTATAGGCAGTCCTACCATAGTTTCTCGACAGGAGTGGGGATCGAGTTCACTCACCTGCAGAGTCCCACTGAGCCTGCCTGTGGCCTACCTCATCACAGAGCAGCTTACCAGGATGGAGTGCCAAGATCAGACTACCTGCAGTCAGATGGTGCGGGTCCTACAGTCCCATTCCATCTACAACAAAGGCTGGTGTGATGTGGCCTTCAAGTAAGAGGCTGGTCAGGTCTCCAAATCCCATACTTAATACTGTTCCTCACAACATTCTTGTTTTCCTTATTCTGCATTTCCCATTTTCTGGGCTTCATTTGTGTTGCATTTATGATTGATTGAAAAGTGTTAGAAAAAAGAACTCAAACAAAATCTAGAAGTCATTAGGAGGAACAACCCAGAGTCATGTATTCAAGGGTGCTTTTACACTGGGAGCTCCTGAAAGGACAGACAGAAGGTTACGAAACAACTGCAGCCACCCCCAGAAGCCCCCAGCATAGCAACTCACAAATGAAGATTACTGTCACCCAATTAGGAGCGGTAGGGGAGGAGAATGGTTACTGTCTTTATTACCTATATGATAATGTCATAGTCTATGGATACCAAAGAATTTCTTGAAAGTGGCACATAGCAAGGGGCATGGGTTCAAAATTGTGTTGAGACTGTGTGTTTATACAGCCCACTCCCCTTCCCTTCCAGTCAGGGCTCATACTCATAAAGTATTTTCTTATTTACTACCCTGAATGACCATTGGGTATCACAAGGTGATGAGTGGACATGGGGATTGGTTGGGAGGAGATTCCATGTTAAAATGAGTGTAAGGCATGAAAGATTCTTGTATTATGCAGTGAGTATCTACTTTGAGGGTTCTATTGAAGACCCCAAAGTTTTTCTCATTACCCTCAAGAGTGAGAAAGCTCACAAATATATGAAGAGAAAGAGCAGGGGTGGGGGATTGAAAAGACAAATAGAAATAACTTGCCAAGTATCCATTTTGGAAAGGATAGTCGGTGATTTCACATATTTTCAGTTTTAAACCTCAATAAGTGAGAGCAGCTGGAGACTCGCTGTACCCCCTGCGTCTGTATGTTACCAAGAACCTCTAGTCAGCCCTCAGTGGAAGTTGTGTTGACTCTGTTAACTACAGTTTATCTGCATGTCCCTGTCCGCCATCACCCCATGATTGTTGCTGAAGTGTTGCTTACTTCAATCATGGTGTTTCTAAGTGGTTTCAACTGCTCTGTCTCTAAAAATCAGGTTTCTACAGTGACAACATACACCTCGTTTTGATAGTGTGGTTACTGCAGCCATAGGGAGAGTTGACATTGAACCAATCAAGGGCTCTGCAGAAGTGACAGAGGAACCTGCTGGAGACACCAAAAAGCAGAGAAGTGGTGGGCACGCTTCAGGTGATATCTGATTCTCAGAGTCAGGTGAAAGAGCCCCCAGATGAGCAGGGGCTTTACTTGGCCTTGAAAAGTGTTCGCTCTGCATTCAGTTTGCTTTGGAATTCAGTCTAGTAAGCCGCTGAATACAGCAAGAGTTACGAAACATCATTTTCAAGATGGATTGGAAAGTAGAGAACAGCAGAATGGACAGAAATAAAAGAAGGGGTAGAATAAAAGAATTTAGATGTGATTTAAAGACAAACTTAATAAAATGAAGCAAAACAAATTTCTGTGATTAAGAGCCTACAGGAATCTGTGAGGAGTCGGTTTAAAGAAACGGTTGAGTTGTAATTAATTGTTTTAAAGAATGCTCAAGTGCTTGCTCCTATAGTTAAAAACAACCCTGAAAATCACGGTGGACTGACCTGGGTGTAGTGGTGCATGACTGTATACGCAGCTCTTAGGAGGCTGAAGCAGGAGGACTGCTGTGACCGCAAGGGCACCTTAGGCTATGACGTAAGTTCCAGGCTAGCCTGGGTAACAGGGGGAGATCATGTTTCAATGCCTGCCCACCCCCAAATAACAACAACAACAACAAAATGAATCAACCAGCAGGTCCTTGAAAAGATGGAACTAATTTGTCTTCAGGTCCTGGAGAGTTACACATTCAAATTCCACTTTGAACAAAATGAGTATTTTTTTTTTTTTAGGTGAGAGTCTGGAAAACACCTGCAATCTATGTCAAAACCAAAATGGAAATATATTCCTATTTCTAAAATTGTCCATTTTGTTCTCCATTATTATGTTATTTAAACTTCACCTTCTAATGAGCCTCTAGGACCACTTTAGGAAAGTGAATTTTCTTGATATAGAGATTTAGCACTAAATCTATTTTTGCTTGGCAGCTTCCTGGTTGGGGATGATGGCAATGTGTATGAAGGTGTCGGTTGGCATGTCCAAGGCTTGCATGCTCAAGGCTACAGTAATGTCTCTCTGAGCATTGCCTTCTTTGGCAGTAAAATAGGTAATGGTGATTCCCTCCAGGCTTAGAAGGTGGCCTACACCCTTCTTTCTCCTTCTTGTCTCCACACTCCACTCATATCTTTTCAGCCTACCTTGTACATACCATCTCTGATAATCACTGTTTCTAGAAATCCTTTCTGCTGTTGCACTCTATGACATGCAGTTTGTCCTCTTTTCTGGTTATACTTGTTTATATATTGCTGCAGTTGCCTCGGACATTGAGTTCACAGTTATGGCCAATGGAATCTGAATTCATCTGCCACTGATACTTTCATTGACAGAGGCAGATAGCATGGATTATTTCTTCTTTCAGTATCTTTTGTTGATAGAGACAAAAAAAGAGGTCAGCAGGCAAAGTAAGAGAATCACAGAAGTAGTTTTTGACCCTCTACCCCCAACCAGAGCAGAGCAGGGATGGTGCTGAAGGATAATATGTCAGTAAGAGGTATCCACCAGCACATGCTGTTCTTTGCTGGGGATCTTAATGGCATGTGTCATAGGGAAGTTCAGCAAGAATCGTATGGGTTAATGGATTTAAAAGAGTTAAAGGCATGCCTGATCCTGGCAGTTACTCAGTGAATACTGTCACCCTTTCACACAGGTTAGGGTACTTCTGAGTTGCTCAAGCAAGTCTCTCCCCATGTATCTTTAATCTGATTTTTAACCTTCTATTTAAAGGTAGAATAAACAGTCTCAGTTTGGCCCTTAGAGGAGGTTCCTAATTGTAGTTGCTTAGAGTTCTGACCAAGTCGTTCATCACTCTCCGGCTTCCTGACTGTCTTTTCTCTTCCCATCCACCAGTCACTCGGGTTAGGTGGTGCCTTGCCCTCCCTGTTTCGACTATCCAGGCTGAGGTTCCTTACTGACAGTTCTTATTTCATGTTCCTCTCATGAAGGCAGCAGCCCCAGTCCCACTGCTTTATCAGCTGCAAAGGACCTGATCTCCCGTGCCATCCAGGATGGGTACCTGTCACCTAGGTACATTCAGCCACTTCTCTTAAGAGAAGAGACCTGCTTGGTTCCTCAACATTCAGAGATGCCCAAGAAAGGTAAGACCCTCAACCCAGCTCACACATCTTTGCATTGCCCTCTGACAACATTTGGGAATGTTTTCCTGTTAGACTCTCAAGGCTTTCTTGGACCAACAACATCTCACATGTGCCATGACTATGAAATCTGGAAAATTATTATTACTATTTCTTTTATCACTGAGGATTTAGTGAGGGCTTGAACATGCTAGACAAGTACTCTATTACTGAATGACATCCCTGTTAATTAGAGAAGTTAAGGAGTGTACTGGAGTTTTCCTGCCTGGCCCACAGTCAGGATAAATCTCTCTCACCTGCCAGTCCCACAGCCGCTCAGACCCGACCAAGTAAACACAGAGACTTATACTGGTTACAAACTGTATGGCCGTGGCAGGCTTCTTGCTAACTGTTCTTACAGCTTAAATTAATCCATTTCCATTAATCTATACCTTGCCACATGGCTCGTGGCTTACCGGCATCTTCACATGCTGTTTGTCATCGTGGCGGCTGGCAGTGTCTCTCTGACTCAGCCTTCCACTTCCCAGCTTTATTCTCCTCCTTGTCCCGCCTACACTTCCTGCCTAGCCAATGGCCAATCAGTGATTTATTTATTGTCTAATTAGCAACACATTTGCCATACAGAACATCCCACAGCAAAGGAGACATGCTTCCCCTGTCTTTTCCATCCCACCAGAATGATATTGTCACAGACTCATTCTTGCCACAAATATATGTGTATTCATGTTTTTACTAAGTCTACATGAAGTCTTCAGAGTTATCATACATCTGTGAAAAAAATCAGAGAAAACTCTCGCCATCAAGGAACCCATGTTTCATTGAGGAAAGTAAGAACGTGAGCAAGAAACTAATGAAGTGTGTTAGTGAGTACGGAAGTGAGAGGGAAAGTAAGATGAGGAATGGAGTAGATATACTTACATATTGTGGGAACACACACACACACACACACACACACACACACACACCCCTTTCCAGACCATGGTACTTAGAAAAACTTGAATTTGCAGGTGCTGCTGATATTAGAATGATTTTTCTATGAAACCAAATAATGAAAATAATGTGCTAGTTTGGAAAGAATGGTCAGTAAATTAAACCAATGAAATTAATAAGCCCTTCCAGTAGCTTCGCTCTCTGCTAACACAGCCTTTTTCTCTGATCCAGTGATATTTTAAAATTTGTCTTTTGGAATTATAAATCTCTAAATAAAAATTTTCTTGTTTTTGGGCTGGTAGTATCTTCAATAATGATAACTCACTAACATTGTGAGTTTTTTGTAGATTTCATAGTATTTCCACATCAACTCGATCCATTACAGAGTGAGCCGATTCACACATATCCACCTTATAGGCGCACATATAAACATGCAGGTATCCCGCGTAGTGAAGAATACAGTCACGCCTCTGTCTGACCAGGCTGTCTCTTTCTGCTTTCATATTGATTCTAACATAATTAAAATCCATGTTTCTGCTCCAGCCAGGCACCTGGCCTTTCGAAACTCCTGCCAAGTTCCCACGCAGGACATGGGCGAGAGACTGGTGTGAACTGGCCTCTGGCTGTATGTTGGTTCCTGAGAGTGCAAAGCAAGTTCTCATCCCCTTGGTTTCTCACTTTACTGCAGCATGCCCCAGTATCACTCCACGGTCGGCCTGGGATGCCAGAGAGACACACTGCCCTCAAATGAACCTCCCAGCCAAATTTGTCATCATCATCCACACTGCTGGAAAAAGCTGCAATGAATCTGTGGACTGCTTGGTTCGTGTCAGAGACACACAGTCTTTTCACATAGACAATCAAGATTTCTGTGACATTGCATATCAGTAAGTGGGAAATGGCCCTTCCTCTTCAGAGCCATGGCAAGCAAAGCCGGGGAGCTCAGGTGTTTCACGCAAGCGCCATGCTTTATTCTCCCGAGATTCTGGACCGGGTATCATTCAGGCTACAGTTTGGGCTACCTAAACTCTCAGGCATGCTCTCCAGTTCTTCCAGATCAGAAAGACTGAAAATACTGCATAAGAGGCAGTGAGAAAATAAGGAAGGGCAGAGTAGGAGTGTGCCTTCTTAGGTACCTAACCAACAAGGGGTATTGGTCCTGGCCAGTCCTGGCTTGTTTTCTCTGATGTTAGAACCTTACAGGTTTTCTGCTACTCATCATACAGGACTTTTAACCCCTCTGGGCTCATTTGTCTCATCTCTATGGTATGGACAACATTTTCTGTTTGGAGACAGGGATCAAGATCAAATAGTCTCTTCTGGTTCCTTTCACACCAGGATTAAATTAAAGAAACATATTAATCTATTGAGATACAGAAGACATTTGGGAGATGCCTTGTACTTTCCATAGGTTGGACTTAGGGTTAGACTACAATAGACGTAGGTTATTTATTAGGAACTTAAACAATGAATCTTGTGGCTGGCCTCAGACGGGTTTGCTTCTGCAGTGTGCCGCTGGTGTTCTAGCTGTGTCTGGCACACCCCCCCTCACACACACCACACACACCTCTTTGTTAAGGGCAGCCTTTGTATGTAGGAGAGAACCTGCTTCATTTTTTCAGGACCTTTTGTAGTCTTGCTATAGCCACAGCAGATCACAGGGAACTGACTACAAACATGGAAATTACAAACTAATGAACACCAGATGAGTTGATTCTTGTTCCTCAACTTTTAAACCTACAGTGGAATCTGCCCACCTCAGTACATGATGTGCTGTTGCCAACACTGATATGACTGTAACTGGGTAAGGCACCCACTCATGCTTCATCTTTTAGCTTTGTAACCCATGTATATTGGGTGTCTACTCTGTCTAGGGCTAGGCAAGATTGATATGATCCTGTCCCTTGTGAAGTTGAGAGAAACAATAAACAAATAATTGCAATGCAAAATGTTAAGTACAGTGTTGGAAGAAGATCAGGGCACAGGTAAGATGAGCCTGGAAATCTGTGGAGGAATGAAAGGTGAGAGTCGTCCTTATTGGCACATGAACAGGGTGTAGGGGTTGGTTGGCAAAGAGAGAGTGATCTGGTTAAAGAAGAACAGCACATTCAAAAGCTTGGGCTATAAACAGAGCATGTGTCTTTGAGGAAACAAAACATGTTCCACTCAAACCTAAAAATGGATTTCCAAGAAAAGGGTAGGTGGGAGCTGTAGGAGCCAGACCACTCTGTAGCTCTTGTAAGTAAAACTGAAAACTGACTTTGTGTGAAGGGGAACTGGAGACTATTTGGAAAGCCATGCCATTTTTTTTTTGTTTTTTTTTTTTCGAGACAGGGTTTCTCTGTGTAGTTTTGGTGCCTTTCCTGGAACTCACTTGGTAGCCCAGGCTGGCCTTGAACTCACAGATATCCACCTGGCTCTGCCTCCCGAGTGCTGGGATTAAAGGCGTGCACCACCAATGCCCGGCAAGCCATGTCGTTTTAAAGGCTAAAAAAAAAAAAAGAAAAAGAAAAAGAAAAAAAAAGAAAAAAGAAAATTATTTTATGTGTGTGAGTGTTTTGTCTGCAAATATGTATGTGCACTATATGCAGATCTGGTTCCTGCAGAGGTCAGAAGAGGGTGTTGGATCCCCTGTAACTGGAGTTACAGATGGTTGTGAGCCACTCTGTGGGTGCTGGGAACCAAACCTATGTCCAGTGCAAGAGCATCAAGTACTCTCAACTGTGGAGCCATCTCTCCAGCCCCCTGGTTATGATTTTAAGAGTGAATTGGAGGGAGGCAAAACTCTGGACAGGGTGCTGTTATAATAATCCAAGTTGGAGCTGGGTAGTGACAGTTGGACAGAAGTAGTGGAAGAATTTAAAAGCTATGTAAAAGACATAATTGATGAGCCACAGGTAGTGGTTGAATGGGGCTGTGAGAGGGAAATGAGGGATTTAAGATGGCACTTCATTTTCTGGGTGCAGAATATGCAAAAGGCAAGTAGTTTCTTTGACATGTTGACCTTTACAGATAATAGTTAAAGCTGTGGGAGGGGATAACTGTTTAATCTGGGTGAATTATTCAGTGGGAGGGGAGAACAGCTACACCAAGGTCCTAAGGAGGAAGCATAGGGTTCTGAGAAACACAATGGTTAAGGAAAGGTAGGTAAGATGGCAGTGACCCAAGGAAGAACTGCAAAGGAGAGAGACTAAGGAGGGCATTGGCTGTGGAAGCCTGGAAGGAGAAAGCTTCGGGACCAGAATGCTCAATGGTCAGAATGCCCATTGCTCACAGTGTTGTGGAGGTCTAGTGTCATCTTGGTTGAGTCAGATTCAGTGCTGGGGATGAAGGCAGAGTACAGAGCCTTGGTTTTGCTTCTGATTTCTGCACCTTGACACATACAGAACATCTAGACAAAATGTGATAAATGAAAGAACAGATTAGTGATTAAAGGAATGACTGGAGAAAATTGTGCTCCTCAGACTTTCTTATTTCCTTTTACCCAATCCTAGCTTTCTAGTGGGCCAGGATGGTGGAGTATATGAAGGAGTTGGCTGGAATATCGAAGGTTCTCACACCTATGGATACAATGACATTGCATTAGGAATTGCCTTCATGGGAAACTTTGTAGGTAAGATACAAGTAGGGTAGAGAGTTCTGCCTGATGAAGCATCATGTGGATACTCTAGAAATACTGGGCAAATGGAAACAGCATTGCAACACTGGAAGTACAGGGTAGCATCCACAGAATATTCTAGAAAATTCTCAGTAAAGAATTACTGCTACTAGGAGCATCTCCCAAACAGAATATTTGCCTCCAATTCACTCACATCCTTGTAAAACTATCTCACTTTATGTCCATACCCAAGCAAGCAAAGGAGAAAAAAAAGTCTTTTGAAAACTTTGGTACCTTTACATCTCATTTGGGGAATGTGTGTCCTTCCTTAGTAACCATGGCAATAATGTTGGGATTCATCATTGCCTGTGATGACATAGAAGAGGATAATCCTGTGATTATCCTGTATCTGTTCTGCACATACTCAGAAATTATGCCATGCTACGTGTTCTATTCCAGAGCAGTTTTGAATTTTCTAAAGAGATTTTGGCCAGATGGAATTAGGAAAAACAATAGTTTTGCCTTTGCTTTGTGTCTAATTAGTTGTTGGCTATGGTGATTGTGGGACAGGTTAGGGTGGGAGATGGGGAAGACTGGAATCTGGGTGCCTGGCTCTGCCATAGCCAAGCAACTTTGAGATTTTGTTTTCAGCTTTGAGATCTTAGTGATTATGGGTAAATATGTTTTGCAGAAAAGCCTCCAAATAAAGCCGCTCTGGAAGCAGCTCAGGACCTGATCCAGTGTGCCGTGGCCAAGGGGTACCTGACCCACAACTACCTGCTAATGGGCCACAGTGATGTGTCCAATGTCCTGTCCCCTGGGCAGGCATTGTATGACATCATCAAGACATGGCCTCACTTCAAGCACTGAGGGAGGCCCTAGCCCATTCTGAGGATGCTCTTCCTCCTGCAGGGTGTCTGTCCTTACCTCCCACCTCGGCTCAGCACCTCTGGCCCCCTCTCTTCACTGCTTCACCTAGTTCCCTTTTCTTGTGTTGCAGTTACAGCATCCTCTCTTATTGACATTCTCCAGTGTCTCCCAAGCTGTGCACTTACCATCCTTAGGGGCTGGGTGTAGTGGGTAGCTGTTCCAGCTTTGACCTGGAAGTGCCCCACCCCCCCACCCCCCACCCCATTGAGGCTTCAGTAACTGTCACGCCTACAAGGCCCACTTTGTTCATCGTTGCTCTGTGGGAAGCCCTGCTGAACAGGTCCAGCAGTCTACCCTGGTTCCTCCAGGAGGCACAAGCTGACAGCCGTGACTTGTCTGTAATGGATTCTGTGTCTCCAGTCTTCTGAGCCTTGTCCACAAACCGCTCTGAAGACCAGCCTAGTAGAGCTGCATTCACGGGTGCTGTCCAGTGTCTGTAGTCTGCCTGTGCCTGTCTGGGCCCTACTGAGCTGAGAGAGGGCCCAGAGCCTTTGTATTCTGTAGCACCCCGCTCCTCCTCCTTCCTAGAGGGAAGAGCCCTTCATTATTGTAGCTGAGATAGCCCCCACTCCCACCGCTGTTCGAAAGATGTACCCAAGCTGGTTCTTGCTTTATTGGATATGAAGAAAATGATGCATAAGCATACATTCTCCATCTGTTAATAACTCTTTGGTGCTCAGATTGGGTTTTTGCTTTTAGAGTGTTTTCACATCTCTTGCAACATGGTGAGCCTTTTTCAACCTCACATTTACTCTGTTTTTTGCTTTTCATAGAACTTCAGATGTCATTAGGTTGACTCTGTCCATCTGCCGTTTTTCCTAAGGCATCCGGGGCATGTAATCGGGAGAAGGAAGGAATGATTTGTCTAGTGGTTCAGGCTTAAAGGGACACAGCAGTCGTTCCTGATTTACACAGCAGGGGTAGAACGCAAGCCTCGCAGGGCTTTCTGTCAGAGTCAGTGCAGACTTTTCTGTATGGATAGAGGCTGGGGACAGACTTCTCAGCAAGGATGAATTTAATACCTCCCACATAGGAAGTAGTCATAGGCGTAGTCATGAGATGCTAAGAAATAGCCCCACCCAAATCCACCTGTTAGTCACAGTTGCATTGAACCTCTTGACATTCACATATTAGAAACCCAGTCTCTGATAGGCAATAGTGTTGAGAGAGGGACCTTTTTAGAAGTAATGAATCAATGCATTAATGTTGTTACTGTAAAAGTGAGTTTGTTATAAAAATGAGTGTGCCCCACCCCCCCACTCTCTTGTGCTTTCCCACTCTGCCAGGGCATGATGTGACAATAAGGCCTTGGCCAGATGCTGACCTCACCGTGTCCAGACTATACAAAATAAATCTTTGTTTTTTTGTAAACTACCCAGTCTCGAGTATTCTGTTAAAGAAGCACAAAATGGACTAAGACATAGTTTTGACTTATTGACTTCTCTTTCTATCCTCCAAAGTAGAGGCCCCTTCTCTTCAATTTAATCCCCACTTCCAGGCCTCAAGGACTCATGGGCTTTGGAGGGGAGTTATAGGGCCCCCCCCTACTCTGTCAGCTCTCACAGAGGCTTCCTCATGAGGCCCGCGTGGTCTGGGTTGCTGCTTACTGCAAACTAGCGAACTTTGCAGATTTTAAATACATGCTTCATCTAAACTCAGAGCACTCAGCTGGCAAGGGCCTTTTTAAAGTCAGTTCTGAGGCAGCCAATGCAGGCAGTTTGCCCCTTTTTTTTATGGAGAAATTCTTCCTAGCTCCCCATCAGTCACTTAGAGAGTATACCAATGGCAGCCTCGGATGACCGAGGTGAGGGTTAGAGGAATGGATGTGAGCAGGGATCTAAGAACCCACTCGTGAGGGTTAGAGGAATGGATGTGAGCAGGGATCTAAGAACCCACTCTTGGCGTTCAGTCACCGTTCAGCTCAGGGGTGCACAGTCTCAGTCCTCACTGTCTGTGGTGTGATCGATTGCCTCTGTCTCTTAATCCTGTTTGACTCGGGCAGGGAAGGATGTGTTTTTCTAGGCACCCGTCTCAGCCACATGGGGGAGTTCTGTGCAGGCTGAGCAAGTTTTGTGGTGGACAAGGAGGAGCGAGATACACCCTCAGGCCGGCAGGCCTGGGAGAGCCAATAGTGCAGGAGAGCCGTGTGTCCTTCAGGACGGCTGGCCTTCTGTGGGTGGGCCCGGCTCCTGAGCTCATTGATTTGTTGTCCACAGTTTAAGCAGGGAGTAGAGGAAAGACTGTGAAAGGAACACTGTGAAGGGAAAATGCCCTATTTTACATAAGACTGAACTCCAAGCAGTCTTGTTCCTCTTTGTTCAATGAGTTAAAGGAAGGCACTCTGGGTCTGGGGTGGGGCATGCTTCCCATCATCCCCCAGTGGAAACCATACTGTGGCCTGAGTAAAACACCACAGCCTTTTGCCATCTTCATGCCTCTGTTCTCTTACTCCATCCTGATGCCTCCAGTTCTTCTCGATTTTAAAGGTATTCCTTGAAGGTTAGCTTTTCCAGAACACCCACTTCCTGGTGCCCACAGACTTTCACAGGTTTCTTGGTGGCTTATCCCTCCTCCTCCCATTCCCCCTCCCAATCCTGGCCTCCTTGGGAGCTGTACCTGCTTTTTGTGGTAACATTTCCAGGGTTCCACCCAGGGCCAGGCACATTACTGGTGCCAGCTAAGTGTCTGTGGAATGAAGGGTGGGTGGGGCTGTCAGGGGAGGGTTGTGGCTTCCCACTTAGCTCGTCTTGGATACTTGCTGCAGAGTGGAAAATCCCTGCGTTTTTATGACTCAACCCAGCCCACTGGCTCTGATTTGCCAGATTCCTTACAAGTTAACTCCCTAATTCTAAGTCACTCATTGTCCCCACCTTGTGGTGGCTTCCTCACCAATTGTGAGATCTGGGGAGTCATTATTCTCCTGGATCTATGTGTGCCCCCACTGGGCAGTAGGTGACATTCTCACTGTGGCGGCCTCAGCCCTGGAGAGCACATGGCCTGTTGCCCCTTCCTGCCCCGTGTGATGCCCCTTCCTGCCCCGTGTGATGCCCCTTCCCGCTCCGTGTGGTGCCCCTTCCCGCCCCGTGTGATGCCCCTTCCCGCCCCTATGCCTCCCCTCACGCCTCCATGCTCTTCCTCTTTGTCCCTTGGCCTGCCCTGTCTACACGTCCGCGTCGTTCCTTCTACTGCTTCTATCTTTGCTCTTTTCCCTCCCGCACCTCCACCTGGATCCATTTCTTGTTTTCCTTTGCCTCTCGGGGCCTCTCACTTTCTGTCTCTGCGTGGCCATCTGGACACTGCCTTTGCCTTTTCACTAGAATACGTTAGAATGGACAGGGGACAGGATGGCGGGCACGTGTGGTGGCACCAAACTTGAGCTCAACAGATACTCGGGGGGTCATCTCCACTCTGCCCCTGAAAATCGCCTGTGCTGTGGCCCGAGGCTACCACAGATGCTGAGAATGGGAGGAGAAGGGCAGATGCCCAGGGTGCAGTGGTTCTGGGGAAGCTGTACATTCTTTTCAGGAGCTTCGAGGCAGGCCGAGCAGGTCCAGGTGTGTTTCTGGCCCAGCAGGTTCTGCCAGGCAGGGCTGCAAAGGGCAGGGACTTACAGCTGATGTTGGAATCAGTGGTGGGAGGGAGTGCAATTCCTGCTAGGTGTGGCATAAACTTCTGAAGTCTTTCCACAGTGGACTGAAGTAAGAAGTGTCTCCTCCTGGGCAAGGAACTGGAGGCCCCTCTCAGGGAGACTAGGGGGTCCCTGTGACCCAAGCGATACAGCTGTTTTGGAGGAAAACTGAGGAATTCCCTACTGACCCCCCACACTCTGCTTGCATCCAGTTCTAGAAGTCCGAGTCTTAAGGCTCCCAAATTAGGACCGACTTGCGTTGCCCTTGGTTGACCCCTTGTTTGTAATTCCCTCCCCCCTCCATCCCTGAACCCCATCACTTGACTTTCCCATTAGATTATAAACTCTGGGCTGGGATATGTTTCCCTGATCTGGCACACAGTAGGACCTCAGCTAACACCTCAGACCTGCTGCATCTGAAGATCTAGGGAATGTGAGCATGTTCTACTGGTCTGTCTTGGAGCAGGCAACACTGCAGCTGTTTTTTCTGGGTCTGTATTTGCTGAGCCCCTCTGGGCAGATGTGAAGAAGGGTCCTAGCATGCAATGAAGAGATGAGAAGGAAACTGAGCCAGGGTCATAGTGAGTCGTGTTATCCACACAAAAAAAGAATTCCCAGGTGAGTGACTGAGGGCCTTGCTTGTCCTCTCCGTGTACATGTCTGTGCAGCGTGCCTGCCATGTGTGGTTTTGCTTAATCCCTAACTGCCGAGCAGTAGCAGTCTCCCATCAGACTTGAGGAAATAGGAAAGGTTTGAAGGCATCAAGTTACTTTCTTAAGGTCACACAACAAGTACATGCCAGTGCTGAACTGGGTCACTATTCCTTTGTCACACCAGCTGTCTTTTGGGTGCTCCCAAGCCTTTATAGCTGATGACAAATGCCAGTGGTCCCCGCCAGAGTTAACTGAATATTTCAAATATTTCCCTTGAACCCACAATATGCTTCAGTTGACGTTATATGCAAGACCCTAGTCACTGGTATAGTTTGGTGTTCATGTCCTCCTCCTCCTTCTCCTCTGCCTCTTCCTCAACCTCTCTGCAGTGCAGCTCAGGACTGCTTTACTTGTCTGGTCACCATATCACACCACCACAGCCCACTTCATCACAGCTGCTATTAGCCACCTCTCACCCCAACACACCTTCACAGTCCTGTTTGTCAGCCTCTCTGAAGGACTCTGGTTTGTCTTGATTTAGTCATGTTAATAGTTTCCCTATAATTCTAATCTGTTGAAATCCTTTTGAATCTTGGTTTTATCATTCTCTTTGTCATTGCTCACTTCTTTATGCTTAGATTATCATCCACCCATCAAAC